CTAGTAAGACCACACCTAGAGTACTACATCCAGTTTTGGTCACCACACTATAAAAAAAATGTTGAGACTCTAGAAAGAATGCAGAGGAGAGTATCCAGGATGATTAGGGGACTGGAGACTAAAACATATGAAAGCAGTTACAGGAACTGGACATGGCTAGTCTAGTGAAGAGAAGGACCAGGGGAGACATGATAGCAGTGTTCCAATATTTAAGAGGCTGCCACAGAGAGGAGGGGGGGGAGCTCTTTTCCAAAGCACCTGAAGCTCAGACAAGGAATAATGGATGGAAACTGACCAAGGAGAGATTCAACCTAGAAATAAGGGGGAGCTTTCTGAGAAAGAGAACAATCAACCAATGGAAGAGCTTGCCTTCGGAAGTTGTGGGGGGCTTCATCGCTTGAGACTTTCAAGAAGAGATTGGACTGCCATTTGTCAGAAATGGTGTAGGGTCTCCTGCTTGAACAGGGGATTGGACTAGATGACCTATAAGGTCCCTTCCAACTCTGTTAATCTGTAAGTACTGAACAATTTATCAGAGCAGATGGGCAAGAATTTCACTTCTACATCCAACCAAGTAAAATGCTAACCAAATGCTAAATATTACTACCTGGAACAAGTCTGCTGGACAACACTTTGAGGATACCATGGTGGAGATAAGATGTCATAGAATGAGCCAAACAGCTGGACCTACTTATCTAAACAGCTCTCAGGTTTCCACTATAATAGCATTAAGCAACGGGTTAGTGAGAGGCAATTACTTTTGGGGAAAGAGGGACAAGATGCATTTATGTCTACTGTCTTCTGCTGTTGCTCGGGCTATTAATACATAGGCACATAATACAAATCTGGGGATTTTGCATTCCAAAATGATATTTCTGAACCCCTGGGATACTGAGTGGAAGAGAGAGGTTGGTTGACACATGCAGGTAACTTAGGAGACAGGTTACATGTAGCTTGCCAAATAGTCATAAGTCTCAATTGTATTGTCTTCTCAAGAAATTAGGAAGAGTCCGGTAGCACCTTTTCCAACTAATCCGTTTAATTAAAAGCCATGAGCTTTTGTGAGCTGCAGCCACTTCATCAGATGCACAGAATGACTGGAGGAGAAGAATGTTTAAAAATGAAGTTTTGTCGAACTGAGTAAACAACACTAAGCAGGCTCCTCAGTTCAGTTTCCAACTGAGCTCATTGCATGAACCCTAAATAGGCACAGAAATGAAAAGCTCTGAAATAATATTTGTGGTTGAGGGATATTGCTAAGCAATTAGTGAATTATCCTTCTGCCTTAAGACACATCCTATTTTAGCAGCCTCTTCAGTTGAAGAGCCTTAATATCTATACTTGTCTTATGATAACGGAACGCTTATTCCATCTGTTCAGGCACACATACAATCATAAATGCTTTTAGTCTCCAAATAACATGTCATTCAGGCTGTACCATGCTTTAACTTGCATTTGCCTATAATCAGTGGTGGGATTCTGCCAGTTCGCACCACTTTGGGGGAACCGGTTGTTAGGTTTCTGAGCAGTTTGGTGAACTGGTTGTTGGAAGAAATCCTTAGGGCAGAGAACCGGTTGTTAAATTATTTGAATCCCATCACTGCCTATAATATGATTCTCCTAACTTTACCGTGCTACTAAAACTACTTACAAATATTTAACATAGTTGCAACAAGTAGTTTCCCACACATGGATATCAGTGGTTTATTTATCCCACCCCCTCTCCCCTGATTCTTGTTTCTTTACGCATTCTTGCTAGACGTGAGCTCAGCTGCCTTAGCTAGTCTGGCAAGTTCAAGAGATAACCAGTTTAGAGAGTGTGCTTTGTGATGCACCCGAGGACCTAAGAATGTGAATAGGAAATTTAAAGGGTTTTAAATATGTATGTATCTATGTACATATATGTATATGTATATGTATGGAGAGAGGGAGAGAGGGAGGGAGAGAGAGAGAGAGAATTTCAATGTCTCTTTGTCTTTCTCAGTGCCTTTTTTGTCTTTTTCAAAGTCTTTCAGTTCATTGGATCAAAACTTCAAGGTTCTTGAAATGATACAAGAATGGGTGAACACTCATGAGGGGTATGTCACAACAACTGATGGAGGAACACAAACCACAGAGACATAAGAAGTGGGGGGAAACCTAAGCAAATATGTTTGATGAAAGGACAGTAATTTCACAGCAAGAGCTCACAGTAGGGAGCTGTGGATATATGCGGCTTAGAACGTCAAGCAATATTCTTAGAATTCTTTGTCACAGGGCATATGACATTCTTATCCTCTTTTCTCGGAAAGCAATTTTTAACTAGACTCTAGGAGAAAGGAATCTAGAAAAACAAGAAAAATCTATGTAGGGGGGATTATACTGTGAGATAGTGTTTTAGCTTGCAAGCCATTTAATTTTTTAAAATTATGGACTGCCACTGATTTATAAGACACCTCTGGCAAAATATTGTTTTGATGACTCCTTCCCTCAAGAGTTTTATAGGTAGTCTTTCTTAACAACTGCCCTATTTAATGACTGTTTGAAGTTACAATGGTGCTGAAAAAGTAACTGTTATGACTGGTCCATGAGCTTATGAGTGTCACAGTGTCCCACAATCATGATTCCATTTGCCACCAGCTTCTGACAAACAGTCAATGAAGAAATCACAAGTCACAGTCACATAAGTCCTAGGTCACAGTCATCTGATGTTTCACATAACAACTGCAGGTGATTTGCTTAATGACGATGATGGAACTGATGCTACAAGTCTGGTGCAATCACATTTAATAATTCCTTCACTTGGGGAAGGAGTTGTCAGTCCCAATTGTGGTTGTTAAGCAAAGATTACTTGCATTTGCTACTCTCGTAAATTGAGGCAACAGGTCAATGATTAAGACTAGACAGGAAGTTTGGAATAAGCTCTAACTCAGGAACCAATGGAAAGAAGGGTGTTTTGTTGTGTTGTAGAAAAATGGCTTCATGCAGCTCATATTTGTTAGGATGAGCTACCTGGAATTGCAGCAATAAGCACACCAACACTGATAGTTTCAGATTGTGCAATGCTTACACATAGCTTCTCTGAACCGATATATAACACTCCTTTTGCAAGAAGTGAAATCTGACGTAATCAAGCACACATAATTGATGTTCAGAATGGAGAATTGACTCTTAAAACTCACTCTGGTGCCCCCTCTCCTCGTGTTATGGCCCTTTCGTGCAATGCACAACTTGCACACCTGCTTGCAGAGATCCTGATCACACTACCATATGGCAAGTGCTTGAAAAATATACTTTGAATTAATGTCAGCTCCTTCCGCACCCCATTGTGGTTGTACTGACAGCATGAAGGAAAGGAGAAACATAATGTTTTATTTATTTTTTAATCCTGGAGCAAAGGCAAGCAGCCCAGCATGACACTTTGAAACCTATTGTCCACTGCATGCATTAGCTCAACTGAATCAATGGATAGAAATATGTGCTTTAATGCATTATTTGTTCTCGTCACAATACTCTGTGTTTTCTTCTATTTTCTCTGTTTCTTAGACTTAAGACTATCCCCAAACATGTTTTGCACGGCCCTATAACCATCACATCACGGGACGTATATTTCTGCACCTGTGTTATAATAGCAATATTTATATTGTTAGACCTCTTGTGCTTGTATTTGCTGACAACAACTTGGGTAAGTAGGGAAGTAAGTCGGTTTATCTCCTTTCTCTGGTTTCCGTCGTTTATGGTGAGGGTGCCCAACACAACTTTAGGTGACGTTGCAGCCTCTGAAATGAGGACTCCCCCTCCCCTCCAAGCGAAGTTGCCCCATTGGCCACTGAGCCAGGACGGGACGAAAGCGGCCGAACCTGAAAGCCAGCAGAACCGAAATACCTGGGCGAACGAACCGGGCAACCTTCCAAGATAAGCCCATCTCTCTCTCTGCATATTTGCCGTGGTACTTTTTCCACCTCCTCCTCGCCATCTCGCCCCAAGTTCCACGTTCTTATTTTTTTTTAGTGTGTATGGGGGGGATACCCAAACACGCACCGATGACCTTATAAAGTCACAGGCAGGCGAGCCTCTCGATTCCTGTCCCCCCTCCTCCCGTTTGGACCCGAGCAAGGAACACTTCCTGCCCGGGGCACCGCGTGGGAAACGCGCTTCTCTTTTCTCCAGGTTGAGCAGAGAACCCCGCAGCTGGCAGGCGAGCGAAGCGGCGACGCCAACGGGCTCCGGCAGCATTGAATCGCCTCCTCAGTGGCTCGCAGGGGAGGATCCGCCCGCCCGCCCGCGCTCGGGGCAGCCCCGTTGGCAGATAATCGGCGCGCCTTCAGTTCAGCCCGCCAAAGGGCTGGAGCGGAAAGTGAGTTGATTGAACTTGGGGAACAGTTTGGAAACCCGAGGCTAGAAGGGAGGCTTAAATAGGGGCAGCGGGGTGGGTGGGGGTTGGGAGCGTAGGCGACCGGGGGTTGCCCGAAAGCCCTCTTTGTATGGCTTCACTCCCTTACTAGGCAGGGCTGCGGCTTCCACGTGGCAGCGGCCGCGGCTCCTTCCAGCTTGCGCTGACTTGGGTGGAGGGCGAGCCCTGCCAGCCATATCTTGACGCTCGCCCCTCGCGGAGTGTTGGGTTTGCTCGAGTTGGGAAATGAGGCCGTCTCTTTTTCCCTGCCCCTAAGGCGGGGGAAAAAAAAGTGGGGAGAGGAAGGGGGTGAATTGGGGTGGGGGGAGGATAGCCCGAGTGGGGAAAGGCGGGGACGAGTTTTAAAAGGAAAGATTCCCGGGTGGCGATGATAACGCGTTGGAGAATGTGAAGAACTGGGATGTCCACAACGGCCTGGTTCCCCCCCCTCCGCCCCTCCCCTGCAGATTTTGGGATGTCCTCTGGATATAAAAAAGGGTCACAGAAAAGGGGTGGGAAGCGAGTACAGGATTTGCTAAACCCGCTTATGGCTGGAGTCCGTGCTGTGGGCGCTGAGGGGTCGTCTCCTCTCTTGCTGGGTTGGCATTAAGAGGAGAGGTCTCAGGCCTCAAACTTTGCTTGAACTGTGCTTCCCCTCCAGCTTTTAAAGATCTCTCAGAAGTTTGCAGAAGAACTTGACTGTGCTAATATTGGATCTGCATAATTGGTAAGGGAATTGTAGATTTCTAAAGAGCATCTTTATACTCTTAATTACTGAATACCGTTTTTTTGTTTTTGTTCACCCCCTTTAGACTTTCATAGTTTAAATTCAAACAGATGTCAGTTTCCTGGAGCACTTTGTGTTCCTTCTCTCTGTTAATTTTGCCTGATATTTTCAGATCAAAAGCTTATCTGTGTTCAGATTAACTGCACAAGGCTGCGGGATTTGGGGTGTTTTCTTTCCACTGTCAGTAGCTGAGTAGAATCATAGTTGTATGTGTGACCACCATACAAGTGTGATACCCCCTTCGTAGATTCACATGCAAGGGAGAGATGCCTGAGACTTGATTTTAAATTTGCCATACATGTAACTTTCACTGAATACAAGTCATAAATCTAAGCCAAATGGACTGTTTTATGAGGAGTCATTGGTGTTCTCTGAGCTTGGTTGATTTTTTTTTGCAGATGTTTCATAACTCAAACTGGGTAACAATAACATCATCAGTGCTAGCAGGGAATAGGATTTACCCGACTGCCTACTAATACTGATGATATTACCCAGTTTGAGTAATGAAACTTCTGCAAGAAAACAACCAAGCTCAGAGAGAGCATCAAGAATCTCTCATTTCAACCCTGAGCTACAAATATTGTCCCACATTGGTACAATTTTATCCCTGCTCAGATGACCTGTTCCTGACCTTTCGAGATGATCAGCCTTGGAGGGAGGGGCAGTGAAAATATCTGCATGTCTAGTGAAGGTTCGAATCCCTAGTGCCACGTAACGGAGTGAGATCCCATTACTTCTGCCAACCTAGCAGTTTGAAAGCCTGTAAAAATGCAAGTAAAAAAAATAAATAGAAACTACCTTTGGTGGGAAGGTAACAGCATTCCGTGCATTTTTGCCGTTTAGACATATTGGCCATATGACCACAGAGACGTCTTTGGACAGTGCTGGCTCTTTGGCTTTGAAATGGAGATGAGCACCCCCCCTAGAGTCAGGAACGAATAGCACATAGGTGCGAGGGGAACCTTTACCTTTAGTGAAGCAGGTCCAAGAAATTAGCCAAAACTTGAGTTATAGATGTGATGGGGTTTTATTGATTAATCCTAGTCTTACAGCAGTTTATTTGTTGATGTCAGTGACAGTGGTCAGTAAGACCAGCAGTTGTACAGTACAAACTTTGCTTTTAGTGGTCGCAAGCAAATTCCCTGCCCCTCAAAGTCTGTAGACTCAGTTGTTAAGTCTGCCTGGACTTTTCATGATCAGGGACTGGTACTTGGGTCCTTTTGAACTCCCCCACCTTGATTTCTGTCAGGGACTATCTGTATCAGCACATCCCTAAAATGTTTGATCCAGATGTCCAAAGTGGCCTATCCATATGAAAGTTATCCTTTGTCTCTGTACAGTCTTGGCCATATCATAACAAAGGCAGCCCTTGGTTATCTCTTCACCATCCAATTGCTCTTGTTTCCTACTCTTTCCCCTCTAGATGTTACCCTCATCTTATCTTATTTTATCTTATCGTCTCGCTACAGCTCCCAGAAACAATTACAGACTTCTGTTACAGAAGCAGAACAATATAAACAAGACTCACTATTTTATAATAGTTACATTGTTCATCTGCCAAGCTTGAAGTTACACTAAGGCAGCCAAAGACCCAACCCATTTATCATGACAATTCTGTGTTTTTTCATGGACTGCCAAGAATAATGTAGTGCGAGGGGGAAACTTAAATTGCATCCCTCAAATAATAATAAAGGTAGATTTGCATTGATATCCTACTTAGGGCAGCTCAGAAGTAAGTTCCTCTGAGCCGTGCTTCTAAATAAATATGTATTGGATTTTCTGCCTGAATAATGCTTGACAATGTGCAGTTCTGTAGCATTACTCTAATACGATCAGTGCCTTCCTCTGCCTATTAAATTATCTTTGGTTAGCTTAGTTAATTCCCTGTGACGTACAGGTGAGATCATTACCTAGTGCCACTACTGAGATGGCAGTGCCCATTTAGAATCTTCCTCTCTTAAAAAGCAAAGCAGTGGTTCTCCAGAGGTTTTTCAGCCATATTTATAATTCTAAAAAAAAGTGTAATGTTTTCTCCCTGCTAATATACTGTTTCTCTTGCTCTCACATTGAATTACAAGCAGTTGTGGAAAAACTAGATTCACTTACAAGTTTTGCTAAGATCAAAGGAAACAGTGGTGTTTGCTGGCTCATAGTTTGCTCAGGCACCTGTATGCTGTTATCCTGCTGCTGAAAATAGGAGGACCACTGCTTACTTAGAGGTGGAATCCTTGAATGCATGCATTGTTCGTTTTAATATAATTGGGCAATATTGGATAGCAACCACTCTCATTTTCTTCTTGGTAAGGATGCCTACAGGATCCCTCTAAGTTGAGTTTCCTTTGCAGCATAACAGTCCCCTATTTGGGTTTGTATCACAGAAAATGCTGCTTATATAAAGTTATATATGGGGTAGGGATGTTGATATAATGGGAGTCTGATAAATTGATTCTTTCAACGAAGAGAAAAGGAATCAAGGGAAAGAATCTGCCTCCCTGTTAAAAGCCTCCTTTCTCTTTTTCTTTTGTTGTACTTAACTAACTTAAAAGCGGAATAGATTTTTAACTACCTGGCAGAGCACACACATTGGAGTTGTGTGGAACCCAACAGTTTCATTCTTGGATGTTTATCTCAGCAGCCTTAGCCTAGGTCAGTGATGGCTAACCTTTTTGGCACCGAGCATGTGCGTCTGGGCTGCAACCTGGAAAAGGAGCTGCTGAAAATGAACTTCCGGTTTCCAGCACGCCTACGCACACGGCGATCAATTGGCTGGCACGCATGCTCACGCTTGAAAACAGGAGACCAGCTCTTCCAGTTTCTGGCACGGCCGCATGCATGAAGTCCAGTTGATCATCACGCATGCATGCGCGACAGAAACCCGGAAGAGGAACAGCCGCCGCTGCGCATGGCAGGTGACATGGCTCTGCGTGTCACTTTGGGTATGTGTGCCATAGGTTCACCATCACGGGCCTAGGTATTTCCAAAGTTTTCTTTCCTTTACTCCACGAGGGACAGAATCTTGCTTTCCATCCCTAAAACAACCAGAAACCTGGTTTCCAGCTTATTACTGTAACTTATTGAATTTCACAGGATATTTTGCTTTCACTAAATGAAATGCAGGGCAAGGTATTTATTATTTTTGTGATGTGATACATACATACATACATACATACANGAGACTAGTATAGATCTATTTCAAGCTGTTTAGCTCTCATCAGCTAGCCATATCCTTACTGGGAATCGAACCTGTGCTGTATTGCATCTTAGGCAGATGTGTTAACCATTGAGCCACCGAGTTCGACTCCTTATCAGCCAAACCAGGGTGAAAGGTATCTATTTAGATTTACAACCCCCGGTATGCCCAAATATGGGAGGAAGATCACTACTTCCAATATGTGTGTGTGTGTATGTTTGTGGGTGTGTATGTTTTGTGTGTGTGTGTGTGTGTGTGTATAAAATTGTATAAAACAAAACCCTTTTTTCTGAGGTGTGAGAATAACCTTTCAAAAAACTGGAAGGCAGTTTTCAGTGAACTCTTAAAAATGTTGCAGAGGAATCCAAGGGAGGGGGAGCAAAAATAAAATTACAGCTTAGTGCATTCTCTAATCCAGATCCGAGTAATGGGACCAGTGTATCAAATATAAAACATCTTAGCATTGCAGAGCATAGACCCCAGATAGAGCACTGCTTGTGCATTTAAAATTTGCCCACATTTTTCTAGGAAGGGAACTTGGTCACACCTACCCTACTAGTGCCGTGCAGTGTATAGTCTCAGGCTTCCAATGTTTGACAACACATTCCTGTAATATGGATTCTTAAACATTTCGAGCAGCAGCAGTAGCTTTTTGGCACTGGATACTTTCAAGTAACATCTGTCTTGAAGGTTCCTTTATTTAAAGCTTCCATGCTAAATGATGCAGTCTTGTTTCTTCCAGTTTCCCCTTCTTTCTGGTGTAAAAGCTATCAGCATCTCCTTCTCTGCCCCTATTGTGCTTGTTTACAAATGCTGCTGGATCTGATGTCATCTCTGAATTTCATTACCAAGCTGTTTACTTCCCATTCTGCCTCATTACCTAAAGCATTAAATCAATCAAGAACCACCTTGCATTTCTGGAACTTCAGAAATATTAGTCCCAAACCAAATGTTCAAAATGAAAAACTTAACATTCACAATTCAGGAAGTTGGCACAATAAAATCAAAGTTCTGTGCCAGGACAATCTGACTTTTACATGTTTAGGTTACACATTTACATTTTTAAGTTCTCTGTTGACATTTGAGGTTTTTAGCAGAACTTCTGAAAGTTTGCCTCCCAGATAGGTCTTTAACCTAAAATGTCCTGATTTACTTCTGCAGACTCTTTCAAGGTTTTAAAAATGAATGTTTAGATTGCCACCTTTGGATTATGTAAATATTCATACCCTTTTCTCTAAGAGACATTGCTTAGTGAATGTGATTTCTTCTTCGCCATTGTCATCCTCCCAGTATTCTCCTGAGAAAGGCAGAGTATTTCAAGATCATTCAAATAAGCAAGTGGGGGATTTGAATTTATGGCAAATATCTTTAGGTCAGTACTCTAATTGCTACATTAGAATGGTTCTCCTTGAGCTAAAAACTTTACCTATGATCGGTTTATGACTTCAGTGTAATTCTTTGTAATTTTTTCTCTAAGTTGTTCTGTGAAGATTTCTCTTGTCAAAATATTACTTGATACAAATAAACGATAAGCTTTAGTATACATCCAGCAAAGTCTTTCAAGGGAGGATTTACAGTCACAGACCTTATAAGCAGTGATGAGATTCAGATAATTTAACAGCTGGTTCTAATGATTTCTTCCAACAACCAATTCACAAAAATGATCAGAAAGTTAACAAGAAGTGGTGTGAACTGGCTGAATCCCACCCCTGATATGTATACAAATGAGCATCTCCACTATAGCTGATGA